GCTGCCATGAATGCCAACCCTATGCCAGTATTCCCGCTTGTAGGCTCGATCAGGGTACTCTAAGATATTGACATACGATAAGAAATTTTTTTATCAAGTAGCTTGTTTTTTCAATTGATTAGTCTCAATATCCATAAAGACACTATGCATAGTACCATGACACCAAAATAAAACTACCCTAGTGATACTCACTGAAACTTTTTCTTAAATGTATATTCTTATAGATTCACTCATTTTCATTTGCAGCAGCTAAATCCAGGTAGAAGCATCATGAACTTCCAAATATAAGTGCTTTGAATTTGATAACAAGTCATTCGGTAATACAGACTGCATTTGATATTTGCCAAGCCCAAGCATAAAGAATGAATTTATAAATCAATGTAACAGGTCACTAAATCTACAAACCTATTCATTTCCTCCAAAAAAATTACCTTTTCAACAATGACAGCATAGAAATATTTGAACACTAACCTCACCGGGTGTAATTAGACCCTTCTCCTCAGCATCAGTTATCATACTATATCCAATCCTAAAAGTAAAACAACCAGCAAAAGTTAATGAAAGTTTTTGATTAAGGGATTCTGAAAGGAACTATTGGTTGCATATATGTGGAGTCTAATCCAACCCAGAAAGATGAAAACATGAAGTTCAAGTAACAAAACCAATGACATCAAAATTTTTTTGCTGGACCTAGATTTCTGGATCCTTAAAGCAGCCTAATGATAGTATTCACAATTATAACTACCATTTAAAAAATTGCATTATTTAGTTTCCCGTAAAAAAAGTAAAAGCAACATTTTAAATACCTGTCTTTGACGCTCGAGCAAGGCTCCATCATTTCTAGCTTGGCAGCAACTCGAGCAACACAGCCATCCACCACATGGTTGAGGTATACCAATGGGGTTTTACCAATCAACTACAGCAAAAACAAAGGTGCGGCAGCAAATAAGGTTCCATAGGATATATATTAACATTGTTTTCTCCATAAAAAAACAACTGTATTAATCTTCATATATGGGTATCAAACAAACAAGTTTATAAGTAAAAATGATTACAAAAGGCCACTTACTTCCGTGACATCTTTGGCAATGAAACCTTTCTCCTCTGCCATGTTCGTTAGATCTCTGCAAAAATAACAAAGTTCATAACAATATGAGTAATTTGCAAATGCACTTCAACATCGAGTAATAGTACTTCAACATTAAGATTTCGAAAAAAACTAAAAGAGTACGTGATTCCAAATTTCATCATTATTGGTGATATTTGAATTGTTTCTTCATTTTTCATCATTTGAATGAATTTCTCATTCTCTGCTGACCATGAATAAGTGATTACTTTCAAATGAAATCCTAAAACAGCCCAGTTAAAATCAATAATTTGGGAATTTCACTCAAATTCTCCAAATCCCTATTCTTGCTTTGACGTATATGCCAAATTGCTCAAAAAACTTCAACTCAGTGCTCCAAAACCTCGATCAAACCCACAAACCCAAACACTAAACAAATCCGAAAACAAAATCGCATAAATCAAGAATGAACTCAGATTACAAAACATCAAATAGACATTACTAGAAGAACTACTATATTACTGAAAATTTCTAACAGAAAATGGAAATTAACAACCACCTTCAACAGCTCTACTGCAGCAATAAGATAGAACTAGAAGAACTACTGCGAGAACAGAAGATTGAAAGGTCTGAAAGTCTTACCAAGAGAACCCTTATCTGGACAAAGAAGAAGAAGACAAACCCACCTTTGACAACTCAGAGAAAATATGAGGAAACAGCGAGATTGTAAAGAAAAATCTGCCTGGGATTTCTTGTCTGTGCATCTCCCATTTGATTATATAAGCTTTGCCGGAAAATGATTAATCAACGTTATTATTTTATATTTTTTTCCCCATAATTGTTTATATAATGCGAGTAATTATTTTTGTTTTCCACCTTTGCCAAACTGTTGATATATAATATAAAATACAAATATTATATATATATATATATACATACATATATTATATTCAAGATTATACTTCATAATTTTTTGTGATAATATGAAAATAATTTTTTAAATTATCTACAAAATATAAAAATATTTTAAGAAAATTACAAATTTTTATTGGAATTTGTGAGATAATTTAAAATTTTAAAATTATAAACGCTTATAATAATTTATTTTTAATGATAAGCCAAAAATTAATTAAACCGAGTAAATTAAAATAAGTAAATAAAATTGATTAATAATTAAATTATATTTTTTAAAATTATTATGTGATATATTATATATAATTATGTTAAGTTAATTTATTTTTATAAAATAAATGTAAAAAAAAAATATTAAAATTAATTTTATTTTATGCTGTTAATACAGTTTAGTCAATATCAAATTATTTTTAAATTATAAAATTTTTTAAACTAAATTCACCAAATAAATTAAAAAAAAAACATTTTCAACATTTAAATTGTTGTAATTTGTTTTTATATTAAATTTAAAATAAAAATTCATTGTCTCTATTTTAATTTTAATTGTAGTGTAAATATTTTATAATAATTGAAACTTTATTTTTATATAATTTAAAATTTTTTATAAGACAACTATAAAATTCCTTATATTTTATTTTTGTATTAATTTTTTCACTTATATATGTTTTATTTTATATAAAATTTAATAAATTATAGTAATTAAAAAATATATTTAATATATAATTACTTGAAACATTACTTTTTTTAGTATTTTAATTAATTAAATTACTTTTAATTTACTTATCTGACATCATCACATTGCTATTTATAGGTAGAAAAGTCCACTTCAAATTCTTATATTAGCTACACATATGATATGCGATGTATTTAGTTGATTTTTTTAATTTTAATTATATAAAATATAAACCTATAATATAATATATATATATATATATATATCAAAAAAATAAAAAATAAATTTATAATTTCAAGACAACTATATATAATATTTGAATTGTATATTTTCATTAATATAAATAAATACTTAGAAAATTTTTAAATTAAATATTATCTTTTAATATTTTCCTATAATTATAATTAAACATCTAATAGTTGCACGTGTATTATATAATAATTATAATTAAATATACATTATAATATATGAATCAATACGACCTAACATCACATAGGTCCTTACTTAATATATATATATATATATAGACACGTGTCTAAATATTATAGGCCCACCTGGCATAGCAGGCTTAGCCTACTCCAGCCATTAAGCCCGGCCCAATCCGTTACTGATTTGGGCTGACGTTACTTTGTCGGGTCCACCTGCTGGAGCCCACTTCTTATATAATCACAAAATGGCCTGGGCCGTTTGGCTCATGTATAGATATGTTAATATATATATTATATATAAATTATTTCAAAAATATTTAATAATCCACGTCAATTATAAATTTAGTTAATTGAATATATTAATTAAATTAAATTAAATATAAATGACTTTGTATATATGTTAAATTTATTAAATTAACTTTTAAATGAAGTGATATATATAAACCGGTTTAAATAAATATAAGCGGCTATATCGAATCAAAATTCGGAACAAAAATTTAATATATTTTATTTACAACTTCACATGTTATGTTAATTATAAGATAATCTAAAATTATATTTTAGAATCGAAATAGTACGGATTTGGATAGATTTTTACTAAATCCGAATATGATCCGCTCATAAAAAAATAAACCTGAACACAATCCGAACTCAATACAGATTTTGTTTGTTTCTTTAATTTTTAAATCGGGATTTGAATGGATTTTTACTAAATCTTAATCTGATTCGCTCGTAAACTCGAGCTCAAAACAGATTTTTTAATTTAATTTTTTAGATTGCATTAAATTTACGGATTATTCGGCTCAAATAATTTAATTATTTTATTAAAAATATAAATATATTTATCAATATACAGTAGATTATATTATATAAAGTGTATTCCTCAAAATTAAAATCTAATATAGAATTAAGAAAAACGAGGATAAAATTATAAATACATCCAAACAGTCCGCAACTGCGCAACGCCCCACCTAATCTGCACCGTCTCGAGGGGTATTTTCGTCCAAGATTCACTTGGTGCCGTACATTCTCTCTCAGACTCCGATCTCGAGGTTCCCCTTTCTCTCTCCACAAACCCAGCTTTTTCTCTCTCACAATTCACTCATCCTCCTTCGAACCGGATCGAACCGGACCGGAAGGCACACACCGCCTGCCATGGGAGTCCCTGCGTTTTACAGGTGGCTTGCAGATCGGTACCCTCGGTCCATAATCGACGTCATAGAAGAGGAGCCGAGGGAGGGCCCGAATGGCGTCGCGATACCAATTGACGTTTCGAGACCTAACCCTAACGGCCTGGAATTCGATAACTTGTACCTCGACATGAACGGGATTATCCATCCCTGTTTTCATCCCGAGGGCAAGGTAAATTAATGTTCCGATGCGTCTCTGAAAGTCACTTTTATACTCATACAGCCAATATGTTTAGGCTTTAGAATGTGTATGGTAGAGGAATTCAAGAAGGTTTTTGAGGTTTTAATTGTTGTTTGTCGACGAGCTTTCAGCTGGCTGACATGGAGTTAATTCTATTGTTTATGTTTTGATTTATATTTTTTTGCTGTTTTTTCCTTGCTTCGTCTTTTGAGATGTTTTACTTGTGAAATCACCGAGCTTAAGTAGCATTTCCTCTTTTCTTTAGGTAGAGATATAAATTCTTAAGTAGCAACTTACTGAAAATTAATAATTAAGTATAATTCTTAAGTAGCATTTACTGAAGATTAAAGTTGTTAACGGGAGAAGTTTCTTTTTCAGTAAAAATTACCGAGTTGGTAATAATGGTATTGATGATGAGAAGTAAGATGTCTATTACTTGAATGATTTCATCTGCTTCAGATAATAATTGAAAGAAAGAAGAAGATAAGGAATACTCATTTGCTATGTTTGGAACAAAAAAATTAATTCCTGTATTCGTTTAGGAATCAGCACTTACGTCAATTAGGAAGTACTGCCAAAGAAAAAGTTTAAAATGATAGAAACTGATGTTTCTAATAAACTTAGGTGAAATTGAGACAATACATTTTAATTCCACGTGAATTGGTCAAAATTTGAAATGTAATGTCTTAATTTTGTTTGAAGTTCATTTAGAATGTCAGTGGTTATCATTTTATAAAGTACTTTTATCATTTCATCTGTAAAATAAGTGTTAATTTTTAAATAGATTCCCTAAAGAAAGTATACTTCTTCTAGAGTAGTGCATAGGAAAAATTTAAAATGGGCATTTCTGTTTTGTTGTTAAAGCTGAAAACTAATTTAGAATGAGGAAATAATTTTATTCAGAAATTCAACAATCAGATTTCAGTATTCTACTACATGAATGTTGTGGAAATAAAAAGAGACAACTAGAGTGAAGAACGATAAAAATTTATAAATTTCTTCTTGGTGTGTTATTTGATTTTCTGCCTAATAGAGAACCTTTGTGATACCTCAGACCTATCTCCCTTGGGGATTCCTTTATTCCTATACATTTTTAGAGAGTAGATGGTGAATGTTAGAAGCTGGAAGATGTAAATCTTTTACTTGGCATTTAGAAATGGCATTGATAGGTTTCTTATTTGAAATTGAGGAGGCAACATTTGCTGCCAGATGCCAGTAGCACTTTTATCATTTGACAGTGGCTGACCAAGAAGATATGCTGATAATTTGTTTGTGCCCTTATTACCTTATTTGTTTTCATGGAAGCTGTGCCTGGATGAAATGTTAATCTCTCATGCAGCCTGCACCAGCCACTTATGATGATGTGTTCAAATCAATATTTGAGTATATTGACCATGTCTTCTCATTGGTTCGCCCGAGGAAGCTTCTTTTCATGGCCATAGGTGAGATATTCTCTGGGATGCATAATCTAGTCTTCTATTTTTGAAATGCAAATGGATTTGCAAGCAACTGAATTTTGTAGATGGGGTTGCACCAAGAGCAAAAATGAATCAACAGCGATCTCGTCGCTTTAGAGCTGCAAAAGATGCAGCTGCAGCAGTAAGTTCTTTTACTTTATTTTTTTAGTGGTTTCCGATAAATTGATATGTGAACTCATTGTATCCTTATTCCTGTTGTGTTAGGAAGCTGAAGAGGAGAGATTGAGGAAAGAATTTGAGTCTGAGGGGAGAAACTTGTTCCCTAAAGAAAAGGCTGAGACATCAGATTCAAATGTCATCACTCCTGGCACCCAATTTATGGCTATGCTATCAGTAGCACTTCAATATTACATACAATCTAGGTTGAACCTGAACCGTGGCTGGTGGCCAACAAAGGTGTGGTAGATTTATCCTATCTAGTCCTTTCTCCCTTCGAGATCGGGTGATTCCTTGCTGTGGAGTAATCCCTTCTGTATCATTTTCCATATACTTCTGCCTTTCAGGATACTTTGTCTCTCTAAATTTATTTATGGGGCATCATTGGGTGCTTATTTGAAGGTTATTCTTTCTGATTCAAATGTTCCTGGTGAGGGAGAACACAAAATCATGTCATATATTCGACTACAACGTAATCTTCCTGGTTATGATCCAAACACTCGGCATTGTTTATATGGTCTGGTGAGTATGTTTTCAGAATCTCAGCAAGCTTTTATTCCTACTCACATTTTCATAATTTTATATGTTGATAAGTTTTCTTTCTCTTCTGTGCTGATCTATTCCTACTAGTTTTCTCCTACGTGCTATTTTTTCAATTGATTGTTTCCTTCTGTACGGCACTAATGCTAAATTAGCTGTTGAATTTCTCATGAGCAGGATGCAGATTTGATCATGCTGTCTTTAGCTACTCATGAGGTTCACTTCTCAATATTAAGAGAGGTCTGCTTCATATACCTGGTACCCTTATGCATCGTACTTGCTCAGGACCTCTCTTGGATCAAGTACTTATTTTATCCTGCCTGAACAGGTGGTCACCCTTCCTGGGCAACAGGAAAAATGTTTTGCCTGTGGTCAAGTTGGTCATCTGGCAGCAGAGTGTCGTGGCAAGCCAGGTGATGAAGCTGAAGATTGGAATGTAGTGGACGATACCCCAATTTATAAGAAAAAATATCAGGTAGAGAAATGAATGATTACACTTCTCAGGAGTATAGTTTGAATGTTTTGTTCTTTTGAAAAAAGAAATCTTATCGTATTATTTTTTGGACAGTTTCTTCATATTTGGGTGTTGCGAGAATATTTACTACATGATTTGGCGATCCCTGATCCTCCATTTGTGATAAACTTTGAGAAAATAGTAGATGACTTTGTGTTTATGTGTTTCTTTGTGGGCAACGACTTTCTTCCACATATGCCAACTTTGGAAATTACAGAGGTACAGATTTAGCTTCTATTTAGTTGCTTTACTGAGTTACGATATTGAACAACATGCTGAAGTATCTTTTTCTTTTTTGTTACATTTTAGGACCTTGAGTGCTAGTTACTTTCATTCTCTCTCTATATCTCTCTCTCTTGTTTTTTTCTTTTATTTCGGTCTATATCGTGCTGCTTCTTACAGGTTCTTTACTGATGTAGGGTGCTATAAATTTACTGATGCATGTTTATAGAAGGGAATTTGCTAGTATGGGTGGTTATCTGACTGATTCGGGTGAGGTAATTTTTCTGTTTTTGTTTGTTGAATAAATTTTTTTGCCACTATGTTATATGTGATCTATTGCAGGCAGCCCCCTTTACTGGATGCGATAGAAGCCAACATTTTGTTTTATATGCAATTAGTAGGGTGAATTATTCTTTTATTCTTTTTTGAGACAATGATTGGTGCTAATTTGCTTGAAAATGGACTGTGCTTATTAATTTTTTCTTTAGGCACAAAAATCTAAGTGTAAAACACAGAGTTTGAAATATATTTGACTGCTCTGGAAGAGAAATCTGGACCTGTTTCAGACTAGGTTGACCCTATATTTTTTTAGTAAGATATGTTAGGGCTTTGCTTGTTTTCATTTTTTAGAATCTTTTATATTCAAGTTTCAGTTTAATAACTAGGAAAGAGATTTTTTTTTTTTGCAAAAAAAAAAAAGAGAAGAAGAGAACTCAGATTGAGAGTTCATATTTCTCAATTTACCACGTTCTTGAAGTCAGAACTACAGTGGGGAACCAGAGTTGGGGAGAGGCCAGGACTTAGTGAGTTAGGACGAGGCTCAAATATCTTCTACTAAATTGCCTGTAATGATATTTATGCTACCGAATATCATCATAATATCAGCCAATTGCATACTTAGAAGAATTTGCAAATAAACTAAACCCAGTGGGCAAATTTTTTATTTCCAAGGAAAATCACTTTGATCCCCTACGAGAAAAATTCCCAATTCTCCCTTTAGGCCTTCAACTCTTACATACAGTTCTTGTTTTGGCGATTCAGAAGTAGGAGAAGGTTTTTTTTTACCAATGAATTGATAGTCAAAATCATTCCACTCTATGTTGTTTTTCTGTCGAAACATCGGACATTCTAAATCCACATAAGATGTAGAAGAATGGGAAATCACTCTACCTGTGATGTTCAGTTTATGAACAGCTATTTCGCTGTTACAGATGCCTTCTCTGAGTAAAATAACTGCTCTCTTTAATGAAAAGGCTCTTCTTTTCCTTTTTAGTCCATATCTTCGATTTTAACTGTTGAAATGTTGGTTTTTGAATGAAATAATTATTTTCCTTTTAAGATTCAGGGTTAATTTGCTTTCTCTTTTCTTTTTTTTTTTTGTGTTATATTTGTATTGTTTTCCATCATTCCTTGAAAGATGTTAATTTTGGTACGCTTCAGGTGTTGTTGGATAGAGTAGAACATTTTATTCAGTCTGTTTCTGTTAATGAAGATCAAATATTTCAGAAGAGGACTCGTATACAGCAGGTATCTTTGTTTGATAATTTTTTTTTAATTTTCAATTTATTCTTTTTTTAGTTTTATATGATTTCTTAAATACATATTTTGATTCAGTTGTTGAGCATGGCAAAATTTTTAACATGCATCAGTCAGTTTGCAATATTTTTCCCTAATAAGTGAGTTTTGGTAGTTGTATAGCTGGTTCCTTTCACTTTCCATTTCTTGTATGGTCAAATATTGTGGAGAGGTCAAATGCTTTCCTAAATTTCATAGTACTCCTATTGGTAATTTTACAGTGGCCCCAAGGAAATTG